GGCTCATTATAAGTCCACAATTTACAGACTCAGAATGTTAGTGCTAAAATGCAACTAAGATATCAACCTTTTTTAGTGCAAAACCTTCACAGAAGAGGAAAATGAAGCTCAGAAATTCAATGAAAAAAATGACCACCAAAAAGATTAGGAATATTTTTTCTCGATATTTCCCTTTACTTGGTTGCCTGGGAGCAGGTGGAACTATGACACCTTTAGAGAATCAGTTTTGCTTATGCACATATGGACTCACACCCCCTTCAGCTATCTGTAGGAAGATACCTTCAAGTCAGTCCAGAACATTTCCCATTTCCCTCCAAGCAGACACCCATTTTCCATAGACACTGTGATAAGCAGGCCACAGGAAGGGGCATCTGTCCTTGGGGCTCAATTTCTGAAATTTAACTCATGAGTTAATATCAATTCCATGGGCCCAAGAAAGCTTAAACTGAGATGGAATTTCATGATAATTCTATTTTAGGATACACAAGCAGAGACAATTATTAGTGGTTGAATAGAGGCCCCGTGTATACTGTTCAACTGGAAAATGTATGTTGCATGTTCTGTTTCTATGAATTTGACAATTCTGGGTACCTTATTAAACTATTAAAACAATAAATGGCTACTGCTTCATAAATTTAATTATATCTCAAAAGTTTGTATCACCAATATAATCTTAAGTGAGAAGCTGGCCATCTTTTTTTTTTGAAAGCAGGATTTATTAAGAGGACAGAAAAGCTCCCAAAGTGGGAGGGACCTGAGAAGTGGGGACACCGGAGCAGCTGGCCATCTTTAACTGTTTCAAAGCTGACTGATTAGGAGATGAAACATCTAAATTAGGCCCATTCACAATCTCAGGATCTCTTAAATAGTGAAAAGGGAAGAGTTTGACAAATAACTTAGTTTTCTGTATTAATAATAAAATACTATAGCAATCCTGTCTGATAGAGATATAATACAAGCCATGTATGTTATATTAAATTTCCTAGTAGCCACATTACAAAGTAAAAAGGTAGTGAAAATAATTTTTAAAAATTGTGGTAAATATACAGAATATATTACCACTTCAACCCTTTCTGAGTATACAGTTCAGTGGCATTAAGTCCAATGACACTGGTGTACAGCCACCATCACTATCTATATCCAGAACTTTTCCATCTTCCCCATGAAGCTCTATACTCTATTAAAGAATACTGTCCTTTCTTCACTCCCCTCAGCCCTTGATAACCCCATTATATGTTTTGTTTCTATGAATTGGACAATTCTAGGCACCTCATATAAATGGAACCATAAAAGTATTTGTCCTATTGTGCCCAACTTATTTCACTTAGCATGTCTTCATGGTTCATCCACATTGCAGCATGTTTCAGAATTTTATTCCTTTTAAAGCCTGAGTCATACTTCATTATACATATATACAACATTTTGCTTCTCTACCAAACGGTGGATATTTGCCTTGTTCCCACCTTTTGGTTATTGTGAAGGTTAAGAAAAAAAAAATAGTGTATCAAGTATTTAATCCAATATATCCAAAATATTATCATTTCAACTTGTAATTAATATACAAATTACTAATGAGATATTTTACATTCATTGTTTCTAATGTCTTTGAAATCCACTGTGTATTTTACAATTACAACATATCTCAACTCAAATTAGTCACTATTTATGTAGCCATATATGGCTAGTGGTTAACGTATTGGAGAGCCCAGTTCTACAGGAGAGTTTCATTCCAAACTTCATAAACTATTATCATAGTTCTGAAACCCACTATGATAATTCTACCTTATTGGTTCTCAGACAGCCACAGTGTTTAGAGCTGGGCCCCTGAAGTCAGATCAAACTCAATGCAGATCCCAGGTCTCCCACTAATTAGCTCAGTGCTGTTGAAAGTTTACTTAGTCTTTTAAAACTTCACTTCCTTTGTTTGTAAATGCAAAACAAATACTATTTCTCCCATAGGGTTTCTGTCTGAATCAAAATGAACATAAATGAAGTGCTTAATGTACTTAATGTAGAACTGCCAAGATATGATGTAATAAAAACAATCTACTAGCTTATACATTTACAAGGGCAAGGGCCATGTCTTTCACAGTGTGCTGGACACATAGTGAGCACCCAATGACTTATGTGGATAAGTAAATGAACTCCTCCCTCAGCCATTATAAGTTCTGAGTTTGTTTTCAGGACATTGTCACAGAGATTGCAACATGATTTCCATACCTATCTGGCCATGAAGATATGGATACCATGTGGCATAGAGAGAGCATGGAAGAACTCATCCTCATCCTTTCCCCTTCTTTTTTGCTTTAAAAAAATTGATTAAGTTCCTTCCTTTTCCTTGAAGGAAGAGGACTGATGAGGCTCAAAAGACTAAGGGTCAAAGAAGCAGTTGTGGGGTTGGAAGATTGGTTATACACAGGAGCAATGAAAATAAGTAGTTGGAGGATAAAAGAAACTGGTTATCTTCACTATTGGGGAAGGGAGTTACACATATGGAAAGGGTAAGAAGCTTGATTACCTCTGTGATATTAGATTGGAACTGAAGCTAATAGTGGGATCTCATAATATTTAATAAAAAAATGGACAGACAGAGCAATAGATATAGCTGTGTGTGTGTATGTGTGTGTGTATGTGTGTTTCCTAGCCTGTTGGTTGAGAGGGCCAAGAAGCAAGGAGCACACTCAATTGCCAGATCTTGGTTCTAACTACCATTTTCCATAATGGATCCAGGTTTTGAAGATGTGGCTAATTCCAGAACTGGAAAGAGAAAGTACAAGCTGCTCACGGAACATTTTCTTATGCCAGAAGGTAAGCAAGTACTCAGAAAATGATGAGAACTTGTCAAAAGTACATGAAAACCAGTCTGAAGGGGTTCCATGGGCCAAATCAGAGATCAAAATAATGATATTAATGGATTATAACTCCATGAATAAAATAGAAATCTATTAATTCATATTAACATAAACAAACACAAATATAAAAGGGGAGGAGGGAAAGTTGTTCCCCACAACAGAAAGTTCATTTAGGAGTAACATGTTTGTAAAGTCTCAGAGTATCTCCCCACAAAATATTTATTTTGTGCAAAGGGAAAAACTAACTTTACAGTGGAGAAATCTAGCAGAGACCACCTTAACAAAGGGGAGCTGGTTATGTGTCTCCTAATATGATTAAGAAGAATATAGCATTGCTTCTGTGGCATTTCTGCCAAAAATGTACAAATCTTATAATGAGAAAACATTATACAAACCTAAATTGAGAAATATTTTACAAAACATACTCTTCAAAAATGTCAAGGTCACAAAAAACAAGGAAAGACTGAAGAATTGTTCAAGATTGAAAGAGAGTAGACACGACGAAATCTAACACATAATCATGAGCTAAAAGAAAAAACAATTTTGGGCCAAGCATGGTGACTCATGCCTGTAATCCTAGCATTTTGGGAGGCCAACTTGGGAGGACTGTTTGAGTCCAGGAGTTTAAGACTAGTCTGGGCAACAAAGTGAGACCCATCTCTACAAAAAACAAAACAACAAACACAAAAAACAAAAAAATCTGATGCAGTGGCAGGTACCTGTTGGCCTAGCTGAGATGGAAGAATTGCTTGAGCCCAGCAGTTTGAGTGTGTGGTGAGCTATAATTGCGCCACTGCACCCCTGCCTGGGTGACAAAGTGAGAACTTGTCTCTAAATAAATAAATAAAACATTTTTATTCTATAAATAATGTTATTGAGACATTTAGTGAAAAGCTGTGTGAAATCTATGGATTAGAAAGCAATCAATGTTGTTTTACTGAATGTGATTGTTCCACTGTGGTTACGTATTAGCATATACTTGTATTTTTAGGATAATCACACTGAAGTATATAAATTAATTCAGAAAAAAATATAAACACACAGAAGTTTGGGGAGGGAAGGTGAGAGAGAGAGACAGAGACAGGAGACAGATAAAACAACTGGTGTTAAAATGTTAAAAATTGAAGAATCTGAGGGAAATGCATACAAAAATTTATTATTATTGTACCTTTTCTTTTGGTCTCTCAGACTTTTTATTTTTATTTTTTTTGAGTGAGGGTCTACTGTTCCCCATACTGGAGTGTTCACCACAGTCTTGACCGCCTGGGTTCAGGTGATCCTTATACCTCAGCCTCCCAAGTAGCTGGGATTATAGGTAAGCACCACTATTCCTGGCTAGTTCTTGATTTTTCTGTAGTGATCTCAAACTGCTAGGCTCAAGCAGTCCTCTTGCCTCAGCCTCCCAAAGTGCTGGGGTTATGGGTGTGAGCCATCACACCTGGCCTCTTGCATCTTTTCTATAAGTTTAAAATTATTTCCATGTTAAAAATTAAAAATAAAGAGCACGAGCTTTGGAGTAACTCTGATCCAATTCTGAATCCTCAGTTTGATATCTGTCATCTGTGAGATCCTAATAAGTTATTTAATTATTAAGAAGATGCACAAATTGAGCACCTGGCAGATGGTAGGATGTCTGGTAGAGAACCCGATAACTAATTGGTGCTGAAATAAATATTTGTTGAATAAATGAACAAACTCCTTCCTATCAAGCCCCAATCTGAATAAGTGATTCTTCAGATTTTAGCAATTTAAAATGGTGTGAAGTTTTTCTGAACACCTGAATAATTATAAAACTTATCCTCAAATAATAATAATAGTGATGGATAGTAATAAAACACCACTGGTGGGTATGAGTCCTGTAATCCCAGAAGTTTGGAAGGCCAAGTTGGGCAGGTTGCTTGAGGCAGGAGTTTGAGATTAACCTGGGTAACACAGTGAATCCTTGTCTCTACAAAAATAAAAAAAAAATAGCTGGGCGTGATGGCATGCACCTGTAGTTTCAGTTACTTGGAATGCTGAAGCAGAAGGATCCCCTGAGCCCAGGAGTTGGAGGTTGTGGTGAGCTGTGATTGTGCCACTGCACAATCTTAGCCTGGGCGACAGAGTGAGATCCCAACTCAAAAACAAACAAACAAACCCAAAAATCACCACCACACGTTTTGGTTGCTCTAGAAATTCCTTAGCACTTTGTCCTCGTGTCTCTCGTTACACTAAATGGAACAGGCAGGCATTCAAGTTAAAGTTCAACTCAGCGTTAATATAGTGAATGTCTATGGGGCCTTGGGTTATGGCTGTCAAAGAAGGGGTCATGATCTTGCTACTTAAATCTCAAGCGAGGCTTGCATCAGCTCATGGCTGCAGGGTACAAAATGAGGTGGAATTTGATGTCCATCTGGGGATCTGTTCCTAACATGCTGGTGCTGCTGTATGTGGTTCATAGTATATTTGGGGGTAGCAACACAGCAGAAAAGGGGACCCAGGTTGTGCCTGGGAGATTTCAACTCTCAGCCAAGATGTGCACATGAATTTGAAATGGCCCAAGAGGGTGTTTCAGAGTTGCCTGCCAAAGAGTGGTGTCTTCTAATCTGGAGAGCAGCTGCTGGGCACAGGCATGCAAACACATACACACACACACACACACACAGACATGATCACAGAGCCTGTACCTGCCTCTACTTGTCTGCTCTGGGCAGATGGCTTCTGGTTTTTGGGTCGCCTCATCCTGCAGCCCAGTCCGGATAGACACTTTCTTCTGCAGAGAGTGGCAGGCTGTGGGGTAAAGGCTCCGGCAAGGTTGCCTGTCTTCAGAGTATGAAGAACGCTGCCCGGAGAGGGAAGAGGGTTATACTTAGTATTTGGGCCTGGTCAGTGCTGGGCTCCCCACTGCCTCTCCTTTGCAGAACTGTCACTGGCCCCCGGTTGCAAACTGTTGGTGGCTTTCAAGCCCACAAAACAAAAACTGAGAGGGTGTCCAAAAAGAGAAGAAGAAAACATTGTTGTTGGTTCCCGGATCCCACTGTTGGATTTTGGCAGGGATGAGAAGAAGGAATTACCAGGTGTGATCAACAAAGGTACCTGCACGGTAAGCTAAGCATCTCTCTCCTTGCTGAGCAGAGGTTTGGAATGTTCTATTATCCAACAGCTGGGAACTGTCAACACTGTTCTCCAGAAGTAGAATCTTCTGGATATTATGCAAGGGGATGCAGTAAATCTTAGGTATGATTAAGAGCTTATGACAGATGATGGCTTTTAGGCTAAAATGGGTAAGAGTTGCTTATAAAATAGAGAAATTGTGCTGACAGTAGGCAAGTTTTACTAAATTGGGAGGCATGAGAGAAAACCAGAATGAAATTTTAAATTCTTATTCTCTTAAGAGTAAGACAAAAATAAAAAAAGGTTTGGACAAATGATTTTCCTTGTTAATAGCTTGACTTTGTAAGCTGATGTGGATGAGCAACAGATAATTTCAAAATCATCACAATGAGATGAAAATAGAGAGGTATACTGGATAGGTTAGACTGGGGAGGAAGATTTATTTTTTCCATGGAAAGATTAGTGGAAGAAGCTAGTACCTTAAGATGGCAACTAGATTGGGTTATTTTTACTTTACTATGTTCACATTTCTTTGATGTTAAGATTTGACGACTGGTAGCCAGAGAACCGAAGCAAGTTTCTGAGGTAGGGTTTTTGGAAGATCTTGGGCGGTACCTACCAAGAGTTTGTTTTGTAACTCATCTCAAAGAACACGACTGGATATCCATGGGTACATCACATCTCGAGGGAAATGGGAAATGATACCAGACTGCTGCCAAGTGATACCATAGAAAGTTCTGCTCACTGTGCTTAACCAATGGGAATATTATTCAATGTTTAGGGTAGCTGTGTAGTTTTGAATATAGGAGCCCTATTTAACAGAGATATGTGTTCAGTTAAAATGCCTGTGACACATTCATTCTTTTTTTCTCTTCATAATACCTGATGATCATGTGTCTTTCTTTTTGCAATATCTGTTTATGTCTTAGGAAAGAATAGAAAAGGTGTAATACATACATGGCTTACCTACACTCACCATATTCCACGTGCATAATAAGTTTGCATAAAGGAGGTGCGGTGTAGTGAACACTGGAGAGAACTCAAATGATGGCAACGTTCTTCCAGGTACAGCTAAAAACGCCTTTCCCATGATGACACTTTCTAATTTATCAAATTTCTACCTCCCCAAAACAATTATTCCTAATAAATATTTATCTACAGTTATGATTATGAAACTCCTATAATGCCTAATCGAAGAGTTGCATAAATAATGTAATAACTGTTTGTTCTTGACAATTTCTAAAGGCAGCAATAATTTTCATGGGTTCTTTCCATTTGCGTAATTAAGACAGGTCTACTCTAATGAGGATTTTCTAAGTAATTTCCAAAAGCAGTGTGAGATTTGGGTTTTTATGCTAACCAATGTAAAAATACTCTAAAAGTTCTGGAGCACAGAAAAGTATTCCTCATTAAAAAAGGAAGTGAGAACTTACTTTTAGTGTTTACCTTTTATTAAAGTTCATGTGTTACTGAAGCAAAAACTTTTAGTCAAGAATGGATCTTAGGTAGTGGCACTGTCACTGAAGAGAGAGATATTTTATTGGTGTCTTCAAAATGAAGATGCCTTTCTTAGAGAACTATTGTTGGAGAGTGACACTGCAGGCCCAGGGATGGAGAATATCTCAGAGTAACGGGCTCATCATTCTTTTCTTCAGAGTAGATTCTGTATTATTCTTTGGCCTAAAGCAATATTTTCACTACCAAGGAAATACATGCTTTACCTATTTAATATGCTATATTTAAAATATTTAAAGAAAAAATATTAGTTGCTTGTATTTTCCTTAGTATAAAACTAGTGCCTACCAGCAATTAATAACCATTCATGCTCAGCACAGAATAATTTTTGTTTCATTTAATCAGGGAGAACACTTTTTTTTTTTGTGAGTTGGAGTCTCACTCTGTCGCCCAGACTGGAGTGCAGTGGCCGCTCCCAGCCACCGCAGCCTTGACCTGCTGGGCTCCGGCGATCCCTCTGCCTCAGCCTTCCGAGTAGCTGGAACTACAGGCGCGTGCTACCGTGCCCGGCTAATTTTTTTATTTATTGTAGACATGCGGTCTCGCCACGTTGCCCAGGCAGGTCTCGAACCCGTGGGCTCAGGCAATCCACTCACCTCAGCCTCCCAAAGGCGCGGGATTACAGGCTGAGCCACCGAGCTCGGCTAGGGAGAACACTTTTATAGTAAACAGCTTAGTTTGCTCATTTGCTCATTCATTCATCAACTATCTAAGAATACCTCCTCTGGGCCAGACCCTGTGCTTGTTACTGGGAATATAACACTGAATACGGCCAACGTGGTCTCCATATGCCCTGTGTGTAGAAATCTGCACAGAGAGTCTGACTACTAGTGATCTGAACCTGTGTATTGTGCATGTTGTTTACCATGACACTTTCCTCCTTATTCCTGATTCTAAGAAAAGTTAGGGGCCAGAAATTTATCTCCCTGCTTTAAAAAGGGTTATTTAGTGTCTGTAAGATATAGAGACAGGGCAACCCCTTCTGGTGTCCTCCCACTGTGGGAGCTTTTCTATCCTCTCACTTAAAAAAAAAAAAGATATGGAGACAATTCCAGAGACCAACTCAGCATCAAATACTCAGTTTGGAATACATATTTTAGTGCAAATACTTGAGCCATCTTTGCGGGATGCTGATATTTTGGTAGACGCTATAGATGTTAGGCTAAAGGCTCACTTACTGATACTGTCTGCATCTTCAGAATTGGGTCAGACAGGAAGTCTCTAAGGAAGAAATTAGAAGAAATTTGTACTACAGCCTCTTAGAAATCTAGGGTTCAAATATGACAGAAGTTCAAGATGTTTCTGTTGAATTTGTCAGACAATCACTCACTGGGGCCCACACTGAAAGAAAAGCAGTCCTGTGTTCCTCACTGGGGTCAAGGAGACTTTTTATAATGGCATTGATCATAATAGTGTCATTTTACATCTCCAAGGTCCTTTACATTATTCACAGAACTAACCTATCAGAGACACTCACTTGATCCTGTGTAATAGGAAAGGCAGGTGTTTTTGTTCCGTGCTTAGCAGATTTTAGACCATTAAGGGACTAACCTAGTCAGTTCTTTCTAATGCACAGCCTCAAAGAGTAATTTCTTTGAAGAACTAGAAAAAATCAGAGTTTTCTGCATGGGTACTCATAACTCTGATCTACTGTTTGAAAGTGATATTAGCAAATGGAAACCATGCAGACAGAGGAGTGTTTCATGACTCTCTGCCACCTGTCCTCTTCCTGTCTCTACTGCCCTTCTAAGTCCTCACCCTACAGTTCTTCCCTCTGGTCCTTGAAAAGTCAGTTTAGTTGATAGATATGAGATATAAGTTACTGCCCTTTTCTTCTTTGGGCGGGTAAATAATGAAGCAGAAATGGGGAACTAGGCTGACGAAGGTCTAAATTTACTCCTGAAGCCACTATAATGAAATAAAAAATTATTCTGAGTGATAAGACTCAAAGAAAACATCATCACCTTTTTCATGATTTTAATATGTTTGGTGACTGTTTAGGACAGGAACAGTATGGTATATTAGTATATCCTCCTACATGCCAATGGAAGTTTAAACTGCTGGTAAGTGCCACCAGCCTAGCAACCTAAAACATGGTCACATCAGATCAGATCAATTGTCTACCCAGTCCAGATCCTGCTTCTGGTAGAAGCGTTAAGTGGGCCTGTATGGAGAAGTAGTTTATCTTGGGTAAGAGAAAAGCCGCAGGAAAAAAAAAACTCTATGTGGAAACATGTGGAGCATAGCTAACGGAGAGGAACACGGAGCTGAGCAGTGCAGTCTTGAGTGAAACAAGGTCTTTCTGGTGGATGTCTGTGTGTCAACCACACACAGCTAGGTACCATGTATTAATAATGATCAAGCAAACCAGACTTCATTTCTTTTTTTAACATTCTTCCTGGAATTTTTTGTAAACTTGTTTAAGGTTATTTGTAATTCTTTGGAGGCTTTTAGTTACTTTTCTCTCCTGTTTGTGACTTGAAATGGATGTATGGATCTTCATGATGGATCTAGGGACAATCACTTGGCTAGACATTCGAATTCAGGGGAGGATAGCAAAGTGGATGAAGCTGCTTCCGTGCTTGTCCATAGAGCTGCTGCTCTTGG